ATGGATACAGTATTGAACAAAGAGGACACATGACCGGATACTGTTGCAAGAAGAAATTAACCACATAAAGCATTCCTTTATTCACACCAATAAATTCCCACCAGCTATTGTTGATGACATGATGATGACAAAACTTTGTTATACATTTGCTGTTATGTTAAACTTATATTAAAGTTTTTCTTCATTACCTATTTAAACCGTCTCCAACCATTATTTGTCTCAAAGTGGGTTCCTCGTCATCGAATTTAAATACCTCTTCTAAGTTTTGCAACAGTATCCGGTCATGTGACCTCTTTGTTCAATACTGTATATATATTCATATCCGTGTCAGTGTAAATTACTTGTACCTGATGATGACAACACCTTGTCGAAACGCTGTACATTTGCTGTTATGTTAAACTTATATTAAAGTTTTCTTCATTACCCATTCAAGTCGTCTCCAACGATTACTAGTCTCAAAGTGGGTTCCTCGTCATCGAATTTGAAACCAAAAGTGTACCCAATCTCTATTAAAGTATTAGGCCAGTGGCTAAACACCTTTCAACCACTTTTAGTAATATGTATGTGTATGAGCAGAGTCGGATTATGGTTTACCAGGGCCATAGGTCCAGGCAGTATTTGGGAATGTTGATAATAATAATAATAACTTACTCTTGTCTCTATTCTGCCAATTTTACGAACCATAATTATTTTTTTTACTTGGGTGGCCAGCGGGGCCATAGGTGGCCTATGTATTTACTGTATTCTATATACGTACAACGCAATGTATACGTATTAATGAACGACGAAATAAAGAATAATGCTTTTTAAAATTACTTTTAGGTTTATAAAATACTATGCATTCTGGTTGTATCGTATATTATCGTGTATGTCTGTGGTCCACCACCTTCCTCAAGAGCGTTGAGAATTGGTAGGGACGCGCAATTACAACTATAAGATCATATAAATTATATCTGAAAGTAAAAATTAAAAAATCAAGTTTGTTTGTTTGTAGTTAAACACAAACCTACACAATAGGCTGTCAGTGCTGTGCTCACCAGGGGTATCACCCGATTTTTAGCGTTATAAGTTTGCAGACATACACATACACAAATAGGATATACAGTACGGAAGGTGAAATAAAACACGTTTAAAGAGGGAGCGCCATAAAAATAGTTTTCGCACAACTGGTATACTTAATCATTTTAGCCACTTTCTTTATTTCTAATGGTCGATAAAGGATATATTTCCTTTCAAATATTGACACACAGATGATATGATATTAGATAGACACGTAGGATGTAGTATAAAAGCAAATAATTTAAATTATATGCTGTAACAGTGCATGCAAAAAGAACGATATATTTGAAAAACAGATTATTATATTTCGTTCGTTTGGTTAGATATATTGTATCCCATCACGCTTTGCAAATTGGGACTTGGAATCACGTGATATTCGTTTGACTACATTGACGCCTGAAGTGAACATTGATACTGTGTTTAGTCTTTAGAAAAAAAAAGGTATTGTAAATTACTTGCATTTTATTAGTTCTACAAGGTGGTATGCCCTTTTCTCAATGCATTGTTTAGAATACTGCGTTTAAACTAAAAACAGTAACATTTGTGTAGTATTATAAATATGTGTACTAAGTTGAAACTTCCTTAAGCTTGAAAAATGGCTAACACTAACAACGAACGTTGTCGTTTGTTAATGTAGGGTCTACGTTAGGAATGAACGGATGTGCGTAGAAAATTTGTTTTTCAACTTAAGTCGCGTCGAATTATTTGTAAGGCATAAGAAGTAAGATTATGGTGTTCATAATTTTATATCTTTCAACATCGAACATACCTTAATGTTTTCTGTGTTGTTATTTTTATGTTTAGAGTGTTGGGTCTTGGTTAATATTTTTACGAACTTATTATTGTATCAGTAAGAAACAAAAGCTTCTTAGTTACATTTATACATTGGGTATCTACGTAAAAATTAAATGTCAAGACCGTATCGGAGTATACTACTTTCTAATGGCCATGCTACGCCTGAGATTGAAATTTTAATTGTTTTTTATATCTTTTAACGTATTTTAAGTGTAATTATTATCAGTATTAATGTTACTATTTTATTTTTGTTATGTACTACGTTAACTTGTGTATAATTTAAGGAGAAATCTTTCAACAGAACTTCAGTTTGTTTTTTAACGTAAGATTTGCAATTATGATTTATAAAGATTATGAATATGAGTACTTTTATGCTGCTTTGTCATTGTTAAGGAGGGGAAAATTCTGTATTTTATTGTTGACTGAAAAACCATAACATTAATAATTATTAAGACCTGGTGCCATGAAAAACTGTGCTCTGATATGGCCACACCTTTTTAAAATTGTTATTACTGATTTGACAACTGACTACTTTTCCTATTGTAGTTAATATACATCGTAGGTACAGTGTATGAGGGTAATGGATCACAAAAACGACAAACCTAGCAAGTTCCTTTCTTTCATTTTTTTGTGTTCATGTACTCTGCCAGTGGCAGTTACTGCTGTTTCCCAGGCTTCCTGGTATCTGTTTGAAAATCTGAAAATTGTGTTGAAATCAGCTCAACTAATGTAGCTAAACTATTTACTAATAATTACTATTGCACTTTTTTTTATTACATGTTTATTTTTTTTCAGCTAAATTTTTTGTACAATATCCTGCTTTTTCATGGCTGCACGTCATAATATACTTGCTATTTTTGAACTATAGTTTTTATACTCATTATTGAAGTAGAGGTAACAAAAACAGCAAATAAGAAAGTAATGACTTTTGTAGTATTAATACCTCAAGATGATTTAAACTTAAAGTAAAATGATAATGTTAATGATTTAGTAAACTCAGTTGATAACTTTCAGGTAAGGAATTTAAACTTAAAAAAAAATTAACTACTGTACTGAAACTATTATTATAAAAGATATATTACTTACACTAAGCACTTAGTATAAGTTAAACATTTCTTAAGAAGTAAAGCCTTGCATGCACTTTTGCAATCATATTGTCTTTAGTTTTGGATCTTCTGCATTAATAAAAATTCATTGGTTTTATCATTCAAATGTACTTCTGGAAGTTGAAGTAAAAATATATATATAAAAATATACTGTAGTATAACTTGTCTGAAATAGAAAAAAATTAAAAGCCCACTAACATATTTTATCAATGCAGTATTTAAACATTATATTTACTGCTATTTAGTAGAATGTAGTTAGAACAGGTTTTGCATGGATAATGAAATCCTGGAAAGTTATTGAATTTTTTAAACTAATTTTTCAGTATTGGAAGTCTAACTACATTAATCCTACATTCCATGTTTTTACTTACAACTAGCTGTATGATTGAGTTTATCTCTATTTCACGAAAACTGTCTAAAAAAATTGACTATTAAAATAAGAAATATCCTGGCTTGGCAAAACTGATCAATAATAAGCTTTTTACTATGTACCTCACTCAAGCAAGATCTGAAATCATAAAATGTTGATAGGATAAATAATATGGACATTCCAAAATGTTCCTTATTGTGTTCAGCATACCCTTCAAAAATAATTAACATTTTAACTAAGTTAATGAGTTATTGTCTGACAATCATTAATAAAAAAGAAAGAGAGAAATGCAAATCCAAATTGCAATGAGTTAAAAGAATGAGTTTTGTAATATCAACAACCATGCATTAAATAACAAGGGAACACATGCATTGGGAAATATAGCTCTCAGGCTATTTGCTGTGTTTGCCGAGGAAAACTGAATCCATGATTTTAGTGTTCTAATTTTTTTTATTATATATATATATATATATATATATA